TGTCCCCAGGGTGTCCCCAGGGTGTCCCCAGGCCCTACCTGGTGGCGATGTCATCGTCCTCGCCCCCCCAGCCCCAGTACTCGTTGGGGAACCCGTTGATCTTCATGTACTGGTCGGGGGTCAGCGCCGAGACCCCCCCGAAATACTGCGGGTACGGCAGGCTGGGGACAGGGGACAGTGAGCCAGCTGTGCCCCGAGTGTCCCCCCCGTGTCCCCACCGTGTCCCCACCGTGTCCCCACCGAGGGGCGTGGTGACACACCTGTAACCGAATTTGTTCATGGCCACCGAGACGTGTTTGGGGTTCCAGGGGTCGCAGGTGTAAAGGTTGTGGTCGTTCTCGGGGATCAGGTCCACGTCGTGCAGGAACAGGCAGTCCCAGTCCTCGTCCTTGAGGGCCTCCTTCACCCCCACGTTCAGCAGCTTGGCCCGGTTAAACGTGGAGTTCCCGGCCTGGGAAAACCCAAAATATTCGGGAGATAACCCAAAACATTCTGGAGATACCCCAAAATATTCGGGGAGACCCCAAAACTTCCCTTCCCCTCTGAACCATCTCCACTGAACCATCCCTTCACCCCCACGTTCAGCAGCTTGACCCGGTTAAATGTGGAGTTCCCGGCCTGGGGAGACCCCAAAATAACCCCAAATCTATCTGGGGAAACCCCAAAATATCCCAGAAATCCTCTAAACCATCCTGGGAATCCTGTAAATCATCCCCTCTGAACCAGCCCTTCACTCCCAGGTTCAGCAGCTTGACCCGGTTAAATGTGGAGTTCCCGGCCTGAGGAGACCCCAAAATATCATGGAGGCACCCTAAAATATCTGAGGGACCCCCAAAACCACTTCAAACCCTTCCTGGGGACCCCTAAACCACCCCTCAAACCCCTTCCAGGCCTCTCTGGGGAACCCCAAAGCACCCCAAAAACTCCTCAAAGCACTCTGGGGGTCGCTGAAACCACTTCAAACCCTCCCTGGGGACCCCTAAACCCTCCCTGGGGACCCCCTAAACCACCCTGGGCACCCGTGAAACCCCCTCAAACCCTACCCAGCGACCCCCAAATCACCTCAAACCTTCCCTGGGGACCCTCAAATCCTCCCTAGGCATCTCCCAAGCCCCCACAGCCCTGCCTGGGGACCCCCTAAACCACCCTGGGTACCCCTGAACCAATCTGGAGACCCCCCAAACCATCCTGGGCACCCCTAAAACCCCCTCAAACCTTCCCTGGGGACCCTCAAACCCTCCCTAGGCACCCCCCAGCCCTTCCTGGGGACCCCTGCACCACCCTGGAGACCCCCCAAAACACCCTGGGCACCCCTCAAACCTTCCCTGGGGACCCCCCAAACCCCCCCCCGGGCACCCCCCAGCCCCCCCATGCCCACCTGGTGCACCACGTAGATGCCGTAGTGCAGCTGCTGGCGCTGCAGGAAGGGGTGCAGGTAGTAGAGCAGGTGGCCCAGGTGGCTCTCCCGGTTACGGTGGGGGACAATGACAGCGGTTCTGGAGCGGGACTCGCACTGGGGGGGTCGGTACCGCCCCCCCTCCTGCACCCACGGGTTCTTGGCCTGGATCTGCTCCAGAGTCGGCACCCGGGCGAAGGACACCGTCAGGGGACCCACTGGGGACAGGGGGACACGGTGGTGGCACCTCAGCGAGGGGGTTGGGGTGGCACCAGATTGTCCCAAACCGGGGAGGGGACACAGGGGTTTGTCCCCGGGTCCCAAACTGGGCTGGGTGTCCCGAACTGGACTGGGTTTGTCCCTCCCCAATCCCAAACTGGGATGGGTGTGTCTCTTCCAATCCCAAACTGGGCTGGGTTTGTCCCTCCCCAATCCCAAACTGGGCTGGGTGTGTCCCCTCCAATCCCAAACTGGGCTGGGTTTGTCCCTGTGTCCCCAAAATGAGCTGGATGTCCCCAGCCTGTCCCAGGGGGGCGTCCCCCCAGTCCGAAACTGGGAGGGATAGAACGTGGACCCCAGTCCCAAACTGGGCTGGGTGTGTCCCTGTGTCCCCAAACTGGGCTGGGTTTGTCCCTGTGTCCCCAAACTGGGCTGGGTGTGTCCCCCTCAATCCCAACTCAGGGAGACTCCGGGGTTTGCCCCAGTCCCAAACCGGGGCAGCCCCCCCAGATTTCCCTTCCAGGCCCGGTTCTGTCCCGGCGGGGAGGGGACGGCTCCTCCCCGGGGCAGGGTGGGGGGAAGGGATCCGGTTCGACCGGTTCTTCTTCCCGGGGAAGGGGTCGGGTATTTCCCGGGACAGGGGGAGGGGTTGACACCGGTTCTTTACCGGGGGGAGGGGGTCGGATCCTCCCCCCGGGGGTCCCCGGTTCCTTTCTCCCCCCGGTTCTTTCCCCCTCGGGTTCCTTCTCTTGGGGGTTCCCGGTTCTCTCCCTCCCTCCGGTTCCTCTCTCGGGATTCTCCGGTTCTTCCCTTGGGGGGGGGTCTCCGTTCCCCAGACCCTCCCGGTTCGCCCGGGGGTCTCCGTTCCCCTCCCGGGGGTCTCCGTTCTCCAGACCCTCCCGGTTCCCCCGGGGGTCTCCGTTCTCCAGACCCCTCCCGGTTCCCCCGGGGGTCTCCGTTCCCCTCCCGGGGGTCTCCGTTCTCCAGACCCCTCCCGCTTCCCCCGGGGGTCTCCGTTCCTCTCACCCCTCCCGGTTCCCCCGGGGGTCTCCGTTCCTCTCACCCCTCCCGGTTCCCCGGAGGTCTCCGTTCCTCTCACCCCTCCCGGTTCCCCCGGGGGTCTCCGTTCTCCAGACCCCTCCCGGTTCCCCGGGGGTCTCCGTTCCCCAGACCCCTCCCGTTTCCCCCCGCTTCTCCGCGCTCCCCCCCGCCGCTGTCTCACCGAGGAACGGCGATCTCTCGGGGCAGAACGGCAGCGGCCGTGCGGGGTCCGGTGGAGCGGCTCGGGCCGAACCGATCCGGCTGAGGTTGGCGTACACGTCGTGGGTCCGGGAATAATCCACGGCGGGCCCGGCGGAGCGGCCGAACAGAGCCGTGAGGTTCCGGAACCCACCCAGCGAGAAATAGGCCACGAAAGCGAACTGGCACCCGACCAGCAGCGCCAGCGAGCACGGCCGCTCCAGCAGCCGCCGCAGCATCGCGGAGCCGCCCGCTTTACCGGAGAGCCGCCCGGTTTACCGGAGAGCCGCCCGGTTTAGCGGGGCAGCATGGTGGGGGCAAAGGGCAGCATGGCGGGGCTGCGGGACAAATGGGAACAAGGGTTGGAGGCGCGCCGGGGGTGGTTGGGGATGGACCGGGCCCGTTCCGGTACCGGGAAGGGTCTGGGCCTCGTTCGGCTTCTCGCCGGTACCGGGAAATGTCCGGCCCCGGATCGGGGGACCGGCTCGGTCCCCGCCCTGCCCTGGTTCAGCCACTCTCCGGTACCGGTCCCAGTACTGCCACTCTCGGTATCTACCTGACCCCGGTACCGTTCCTTCGGTCTCGGTCCTACTCTCCCTCCCTGAGCCCTCCCGGCCCCGGTACCAGTTCCGTCCGGCTCCGGTACCTGCCCGGGCCCGGCTGTGCCCTCCCCGGTACTCCCCGGTCCCGGTTCAATCCCTCCCCTTGCCCGCGGGCCACCCCCCTGACCCCGATCCCGCTCCGGTCCCGGTACCTGCCTGGGCCCAGCTCAGCCCCGCCCGGCCGCCGCCATCTTGGAGCGGAGGGCGCTGCGTGATGACGTCACAGGGCGGGGCCGCGGCGGGGTCAAGGCTTGGCCGCACCGGGCGGGCGGAGAGGGCACAGCGGGGCCGGGAACCGGGGGGTCCCTGAGGGGCCCCGGTGGCTCTCGGTGACCCCCGGGAGGGGCGCGGGGCCCGGAAAGAGCCGGGAGAGCCTCCGGAGGCGGAGGGGGGGGCGTGGCCTGGTCTAGTATCGCCCTGAGGGGGCGTGGTCATGGCCGTCGCCGTCGCCATGGTAACCGCGCGTGGCCACGCCCCTTCCCTCGTATCTCCCTGGCTGATGTGTGACGTCACGAAGAAGTGGCGCTGTGATTGGGTGCGGGACAGGAGGCGGGCGCGCGTTCGCGCCACGTGTGTCAGCCTCGGCCACGTGTCCCTGTCCCCAGGGTGTCCCTGGGACCTCCGTGTCCCCTCCGGTCACGTGTGTCCCCTCTGTCCTTCTGGGGTCACTCCCGGCCACCTGTGCCCCCCCATCCCGAGGGGGTCCCTGCCACCCCCATGGCCCCTCCACGGCCACTTAGGTCCCCTTTCCTCCATGGGAGCCCCCCTAACCCCATGTCCCCCTTGTCCCCATGGATGGGGTCATCTCAGGGAGGAGATCCCATTAAAGTCCCATGCTGGAGCTGTTCTTGGAGGACGGAGGTGCTGATGGCACTCTGGGTGAGGAGAACTTGTCCCATCACCCTCGGGAACAGCGCAGTGTCAACTCCAGGGCAGCGCCACCTCGCCCGGGGAGGGGACCAGGACGTGTTGAGCAGGGACAGGGGAGGGGACAATGGCCTCAGTGGCGGTGGTGGCACCCCAGGGGATATGAGGACACAGCGTCCCCGCTGCCCGGAGCAAAAATGGCGCCTCTCCGGCCTCACCTTCCCTTTTCAAATAGGGCGCCCTCCACCCTTGCCCACACCCATCATGGCGGCTCTCACAGCTGTCCCTGCCCTTCCCGGCCTCGACGTTCCCGCTCCAAGCACACGATAGCGGCACATCCAACACGGAGAGACTCATTGGGTCTGCCCTTCCCGGCCACATTGGGCTCCCTCGGCGTTTGCACAGCGCAAAGCTCACGATGGCGGCACTCACAGCTTCTCCTGCCCGGCAGCACAATGGCGCCGTGCTCATGCGCAGTATGAAAAGAATGCCCGGGGCAATCTGCCCGTATCCAACATGGCGGCACCCACGACTTCCGCCCTTCCTCGCCATGGCGCCCCCCGCGCATGCGCAGTGCCAAGGGCACGATGGCGGCGCTGCGGGCGCTGTGGCGGCTCCGCGGCCCCTCGGGGCTGAGGGCGGCGGGGACGCGGCTGGGCCCGGCCCCGGCTCGGTGAGATCGCGGGGGGACACGGGGACATGGCGGGGGGCGGCGGGGAGGCTGTGGGGTTGTTCCCCTGCTCACCCGCCGGCCCCGCAGGTCGCGCCAATGGCAGCCCGACATGGAGTGGGCTCAGCAGTTCGCCGGGGCCATCATGTACCCGAGCAAGGCCACCGAAAAATGGGTGCCGCCGCCCTGGAACGGTGAGGGCAGAGCGGGGATCCTCTTGGAGAAGGTGGGGAGGGGGCGTGGAGGGGCCCTGAGGGCTTTGGGGGGCCATGAGGAGGGAGGACAAGGCCTTTGAGGGGGGGTGTCAGTGCTTTGGGGGGTGTCCCGAGGCATTTGGGGGGCTCTAGGGGTGTCCTGAGGCCTTTGAGGGGAGGCCGGGAGGGGTCCTGAGATCTCTGAGGGGTCTCTGGGGGTGCTCTGAGGTCTTTGGGGGAGCTCTAGGGGAGCGTTGAGGCCTTTGGGGGGACCCAGGAGGGGTCTCAGGGGCTTTGGGGGGGATTCTGAAGGGCCCCTCGCGAGGTTCTGTGGGGGGTGTTGGGTCACTTTGGGGCAGTTTTGGGGTCACTTTGGGGCAGTTTGGGATCACTCCGAGCACTTTAGGGTCACTTGGGACAGCTTGGGGATCACTCAAAGCAGTTTGGGCTCACTCGGATCAGTTTTGGGCTCGCTCAGAGCAGTTTTGGGGTCATTTGGGACAGTTTGGGGGTCCCTCAAAGCAATTTTGGGTTCACTCCGAGCACTTTGGGGTCACTCAGATCAATTCTGGGGTCACTCAGATCAATTTTGGGCTCGCTCAGAGCAATTTTGGGCTCACTTTGAGCCTTTCGTGGTCACTTGAGCAGCCCCACGTCCCCTCCCTGCACCCCAACATTCGGTGTTCCCTTGCCCCCAGCGCTGCTCCGCCGTGTCGGGGGGGCTTTGTCCCTTTGTCCCTGACCCCTCCCCGTGTCTGTCCCCGCCCAGACAAGGACCCGGTGGCCCACAAGAAGGTGGCCAGCCTGACCATCAACTTCGGGCCTCAGCACCCGGCTGCTCACGGCGTCCTGCGCCTGGTGATGGAGCTCAGCGGGGAGACGGTGAAACGCTGCGACCCCCACGTGGGGCTGCTGCACCGGGGCACCGAGAAACTCATCGAGTACAAAACGTACCTGCAGGTACCCCGGGAAACTGGGGGACACAGCCCTGGATCCCTGATGCCCATCCCTGAAATCCCTGTTCTATGGGATCCATGTTGCCCTGA